ACTGTTTGCTAGATACGGGGCAGTTTTTTGGTCGTGTCGAAAGACCACCTCCGAACTTGGAGCCGACGGTTGAACAGTTGTCCGGACTGAAGGCATTGGTAGAATCCGGGCAGGCTCCAAATGCTAACTTCGGGCTGTTCCAACCGTTTGGAGGGCGCCATGGAGCGTGTCAGTTTGAGTGGGCTCGTCCCGGCCAAGAGCCTAGGAGCGGAGCGCCCGCGCGGTGGGAGATTTTCGGACCCACGGACATCACAGTGTGGAGACAATGTTTTGATCTTTGGTCCAACTGCGTGATCATGTTGGACATCATAGACCTTGGACCATTGCAACAGTATCGTTCCATCATTTAACAACCACACGCGCGAGATTTGGGCATTGCTATATCAAGTGCTCGACTTCGTGGACGAGGTACAAGTGCAGACAGGAGATTGCGCCCCAGACAACTGTCTCTATCATCGCGCAAGACCCCACAACAGCGCAGCAGTGCGCCAGGTGCCTGGGATCAGGACATGGTGAACATCAGTGTCACCACGAGGAGCACCGCAGTCACGTGGCTCACCACAAAGAAGAGCAAGGGGACGTGGAAAAGGAAAGGGGGTGGCCAGCGCCGCAACACTTACTGACTACGAGACCAAGACAGGAGATCAGTTTCACTTTCACCACTGCTTCTAAAACTCAAGAGACAGGAAGAGACATCCATGCATGAAGAGCAATCACCGACCTCCTCACGTAAGGATGCCTCAGAAGCAGATGCTGACGAGGTTAGAAGCCCCGTCAGACTCACACGTCATTAAGACGTGGACTGGTGGAGACACTGAGGAGGAACAAGTGGAACAGCCTCCTAAACCCAGCAAGAAGAACGTAGAAGAAAGCAAAGAAGGGATTGCAGGAGCAGGCAAGGAATTTGGGTGCGAAGGCGTCAAGCGCAGAACGAAAGAAGTTCTTGTAAATCTTCTCAGGGCCAGATTGTCGAGAGTCATCAAACTATCTCAGAGAACATGGCTGGAGTTGCAATGAGATTGACTTAGGGCCAATCCGTCGACAGACCTGCTTGACGGTGATTGATTCAGGCATCTAAGGTAAGGTCAAGGCCGGGTACTACGATGCGGGCTTTGCAAGTCCGCCGTATAAGACATTCAGTGGGGCAAGGTCAAAGTACGACCATGGCAATGGTCTTAAACCGGCCGGCCGGAGGAATGCAATTAGCGGCTTAATGACGCAGAGAGGCACCAGGCCGTGACGGCGCCGACCTTTTTTGAAGATCATGTGAGGACTTGCGGATTGGAGCAGCCAGCGTGACCCAATACGCCAGCGCTGGTACGGATGCCCAACTTTCAAGAACTACTTACTTCAAATGCCTGGTGCTCATACACGCAATTTTCACCGGGCAGGTTCGGGGCCCCAGTATCAGAAGAACATTGAACTGCGCTGCAACATGTCGCTTGAGGACTGGCTTGGACTATGTTGTCGCGCAGATGAAGAGTGGACCATGGAGTGGGCAGCGCTTCGTGGACATGCTCAAAGAGCAGGAGCCTCAGGGCTGAGGAGGCAGACGGCGCTTTATTTGGAAGGCTAATGATTCGACTCCTGGGGGCAACTTTCGTCAGAGCATCAGCAACCCAAGGGCTCGAGTCAACAAGGAGAACTCGTGGGTCTCAGAGCAAAGCAAGCCATATGGCAAAGGGCCTTGAGTCGCAAGACCGTCCGTTTCGGGAGCTGGACAATGAGATGCACGCCCCGTCCACAGTTGGTTCACAACTGGCACTCCTTGAAAACTTGGAAGAAGGTCCATAGTGTATGGTTTCATGATGACGAGCGCATTGACAGCGAACCATTTCCTATCATTGCGCATTCACTCCGGGCAGTGAGTGCCATGTTCAAGGCGAGTGGATACATCTTCTGTCAAGGTTTTTTTGCTGCGAACAAAGCGCGCCGCATTAGAAGGGGGTGTGCCAGGACCCAGGACTTGGAGACGGCCGGAAAGGGTTGCATTAGATCAATTCTCCCTGGCCGGGCCCCACTCAAGAAAGCGCAATCGCAACCGCTTGACTTTGCGCAGGCAGCGCGCATTACTTGTCTCTGGGGATGGAATGAAATGAGCCCTAATCGACCTGTGGACTCGTATGCATTGATTTTGGTGGGCGTATCGTATCTGCTCGGGGAGGTCGAACCGTCGAACTGTCTGGGGCACTGGTGTTTGAACTGCAAGTTGACTCAGCGGGATACAAGAGGATGTGTGCCCATTGTTTCCAAAGCCTGAACGCAGGTCCAGGGCGTCGCCAGGAAAACAATCCCGGCTACAGAATCCTTCGTTAGAAGCGAACGATCCTGAATATCTTATTTTGAACGTCCGGTCATCCAGCGTGCGCAAGAGACGTCCTGGAGAAATAAGATTGCAACCGCGTGAGTGGAGAGCAGTCTGTGGCTGGCCTTGGGCAGGACAGGGCCACATGTTAAATGTTTCCCCAGCTTCCAGATAGCACATTTGAGAGGAGATGGACAAAGTGCCCCAAGTGTTTTCGAGCCTTCCAACGCGGAATTGCAGGGAGGGATGACTTGTAAACTCTTGATAAAAGGGAAGATGCCACGCGAGGCTGAGCAGAAGGGCAGAACATACACCTATAGCTGGGGAGGAAGACCGCCCAGCTGTAAGAACAAACGTGGAGTGAATGTTGGTGGAACCCTTTTTTTGGCTCAGGATGAGACAAAGGACACGGGTCCCCGCTGAACTTGAGCCACTCCCAGAACCACCCAAATTCGCGGGCAGAACATACACCTACAGCTGGGGAGGAATACCGCCCAGCTGTAAGGTCATGTGTTTGGGGGTGGAACCCGCTCAGCAGCACCGCAGTTAAAGTAGTGCGGAGGAGGTTGGGGTGAATTCACGGAATTGTTCAAACCTCATGCAGCAAACTTACGGTGTTAGTTACAGTAACATATTGCAAAGCAACGCGCTGCACTTGATTACGCAATTTTGATGGTGGCTTAAGATTTAAGACTGCCAAGCAACTTTCATGACAGACCATTGTGACAACTTAGGTACCTTCCATGTCCAGCTTGTGTGAAACAAAATGTTTTCATAAGGTCTCAATCCTTAGCCCTTCCACACAAAAGTATTTTGGCACAGAAAGTCTTCATTGCAACATGGAATGGAGGAAGGCTGCGCAACAAGATTGACGTGTTAGAAAAAATATAGAAGAGACTGCTGCAGACAGCAGTGTTCTTGCACATGGCGGATTTGGGGCTGCCGGTGAGCGTTCGACATGGCGCGCCCAGTTGACAATTTTCTCTATTGTATTGATGTATCATTGTTTTCGTCTGTCCCACAGGTGTGTATCATGGCGCTCTCAACTTTCAAGAGTTCTCTCGCAATACATTGATTCAGTTTGTGTTCATCAGTTGAATTTATAATTATATAACTTTTTGCCGATACCCTCAACCCTTGATTCGTTCTGCCATTTCAGTGCGTCTACAGTCTTCTGACAATGCAAGTGTTGTCGCTTGAAAGGCAGCCCTGGTGGGGCTTTGCTTTGGCGGAAACAAAATCAAGGACAATGAGACTGTATATGGCCCGATACAGATCAGATCATGGAAACTAGAACTCAAGATAATCAAGTTGTACACTTGTCCGTGGATCAATCATCCAAATCTCCAGCTGAGAATGGTTGTTGGAGGGCTTTAAACTTGTTTTGCCGGGACTTGTCTACTTCAAGAGCAATGCCACGACATACTCATGTCTCGCGACACGGGAGCTGTTCGTGTTCGAACATCCACCTTTGCATACAGATCCCAAGCCACCATGCTTGACCAGGAGCCTTTCCAATCGATCCATGCGCGACTTCTTGATGGGGTGCAGGTCGCAGCTGCATGCAACATCAGAAAACAAAAGCCCCATTTTGCATGTTTTGCGACGCATTCAGATTGTTTGCTTGCTGTCAAGAGCACAACGGAGCCCTGTTTGCTTTGGAAGGCTGGTATTTTGGACCTGTCGGCGGTGGAACTCTTCGGCGCAGAGGCAGTACTTCTGCAGCCTTGACGTAAGACTTGACAGAGACTTGGGCACCCTAACCCAAGGCACAGATCGACACCAAGGGTGCAGCAGCAGCTTTACAAAGCTTCTGGCAGGATAGGCTGCAGTGCTGCGAAAGTCCTTTCAATATTGAAGATTCACCAACTTTTAGCACAAATGCATACTTCAGATAAGCTCTTGCTGCTAGGAAGTGGTGAAATCCAAGAAGGAAGGGTCGGACACTGAGGTCCTTGATTGGGGTCAGTTCTTGTTCAGGCCCGTCCAATAGGTCCCGTGGAATTCTAGCGCTTTTCACCTGAAAGCAACTTTCGATAACTTTCGCCTTCAAAACCATGCGTGTAGTCGTGCATATTTTCAACGTATCAGTACATTGCACCAACATAACTGCAATATACTGCACTTTCTCATCAACAACACTTCTTTTTTTGTGCATCTCACTTCATTTGCTCATTCACACGTTTATTTTTACTGTTCTTTTCTATGAAGAAGGAACTTGCATGTGGGCAGCGTTCCATTGTCATGCTTCATCACATCGACATCACAGCTGTTTGACTGACCTGCGACATGACTGGCTCTTCATTCCATGGCAAAGGCTGAGCCTGGTGGGCTTGGAATCTTTCGACCTATGCAGTGCCGCCCTTCTGCAGTCTGACACCTTGAGACCGAGAAGTGGCGCATGTCAATCTATGTCGGTGCAGGGCACATGATACAATCTTGCTTATGCTGACCCCGCAGCCGTAGACAAGACAAGCTTTCCAACTGGGGCTGAACTCAAATTTCCACCCATGAACGAGACGTGCCCCAAACACATGCCCCAAACACCATGTGGGCCAGTGGCAGGCCTGACATATCTGCCGAAACCCATTGTTCAAAAGTTTAGCAGTCAAGATTTGAACCATTTGTAGTGCTTCTTCCGTCCGGTCGAGCACACAGTAAGGGGCAAAGGACACGAAGAATGAATCCAAGGTCTTGTAAGGCTTGAAGCCCGGCATTTGCTGAGCCATGGGCGCCATCATCACCGTCCCCACACTTTGCGAGGTAGTGCTCTTGCTTGCACATCACTGGGCCCAAGCTGCAGTGTCAGTGCCATCCCATCAACCTACTGATCTCGAAGCTTGGACGATCTTGATCATTACTGTATGTATTTCTGTTTCCGTTTCCGTTTCCCCTTCCTTCCTTCCTTCCGTCCGTCCGTCCGTCCGTCCTTCCTTCGATCCTTTCCTTTCCTTTCTTTTCCTTTCCTTTCCTTCTCATTTTTTCTTTTAGTCTTGAGTCTTGATGTTTTGTCGTGATGGAGAAACACCGAGAACCCTGAGCTTTAGCCATGGCAGACGAGGTGCTCAAGCTAAGGGAACGCATTGCCGGCATCCCAGTGGCTTCCAGAAGGATTTGCATCCCCCACGTTGCCTCAGCATTGTTGGGAGAAAGAGCTACATTTGGATTCCTAGATTTGTGGTGCTGGAGGTTGTAGATGAGCGTGAGCTTGTGGCGGTGCCTAGAAGAAAGCGCGTTTGCTCTTCTTTGGCCCAAGGGCCTTTTTGCGGGGGTTTGGCAGACGCAGGCGCCTAAACTTCTACATTGCTTGTCAGTTTAACAGAAACAGACACACTCAGAAGAAGGCTCTCGGAGTATCCTCCTATTGACATGCTCCTCACACTTGACATGCATCTTCGAACACCGAGCTGGAACTCCTTTTGGACCCAAAACTGGGTTGTGTGAAGGTGCTGAAGCCGTGAGCCTCCACCGGCTCATTGGATTGGTGGATGGCGTTATCTCGCAGCAGCTCCGGAGGACTCTTCCTGACGCCTTCCAGTGGGACCCCAAACGTCTGGACACTTAGAGGGACCTGACACCTAGGGACCGCATAGCGGCTATGCCATGTATAGCGACCCCCATGATAGGATCCCGTTGCAAATGCGCTGAGGTGACCAAACGATTTCAGCAACACTGTCACAGCTCGTGGTCAAGCTCATAGGCACGGTCTTGAAAAGCATGCTCGCACACAACCGAATATGTAGAACATGTAGTTAGTTGGGCATGTAGTGGCTGGGTTTCTTGAAGGCAGTGACAGTTTCTCATCCGATTCAACATCCCTGCGGCTCGGCTGAGAAGAGAGAGAAAAGAGGAGAAAAGAGATTGGAAGCTTCTTGGCCAAAAGCAACGCCAGGGCCTGAGATATGGACGAACACTTGAGGCAAAGACTTGGAAGGTTGACGGGAAAATCTCGTTGCTTCGAGCTGGAAGTGTGGCGACTTTTGCCGAGTCAGCGCTTTTTGCCGGAGTCTTTCGGCAAAGGCCTTCCGACACTCGGCTCAGAAAATTAGCCCTTTAGTTTTCCTTATTGCCATAGCGCTCTGCCTGCTTCGGACTTCGGATACTCTGACCTTCATTGAGAATTTTGTTGGATTTCTGTTTTGTTTGGATTCTTGTGATTCTTGTTTTCCTCATTATATTCTGATTTGCCGTTTGGCAGGCTTGATGCTGATCCGAGATGGTGGGGAATCTGGCAGCCAGGATGCACATTAGAATGAAGATGAATGAAGCGATTTTGCCCCCTTGGCCGTCCAGCAGGTGTTCAGCCCGTCGCCGAGGCATGTGGTGCGATGCCCTTACCCAGCCTCACCAGCAAGGGCTCTCTTCTTCGGTGTGTCTTGGACCATTCAGAGAATCGGACCATGTTTTGGTGAATTTTCCCAGAGGGAGACCTGACACTAACGGTGGTCTAGATGTTCGTGAATAAAGTGCAGTTCGTTTGTCATCCAAAACATGACCATGTCAAAGTGCAAAGTTCATTGGATCAGCTTGCCTCAAACCTAATAGTGATGGCCTCCAACCCAATAGCGATGGCCTCCAACCTAATAGCGAGGGCCTCCAACCTATATAATAGCTATGGCCTCC